GGAAAAAAAGAGACAAAATTTGGGCTAACAATGGGGTAAAAAGGGAAAAAAAAGAGGAAGATTGGTGCAGGTTTGGGTCCAAAGGTCCATGAAAGGTTCCTGAAAGACTTCCAAAGGTTCTGGAGCCACCCTGGGGGTTCCAGAATATCCTACCGAGTCCTGAGTGGTGCTGAGGTTCTAGATTGGCCTGTGGGGACTGAGGGACAATCAGAAGGTGCTGGATCCGTCCCGAGGGTGCTGAGCGCCATCCTGACGGTGCAGGATGAGTCCCGAGGTTGCTCAGGACCATCCCGAGGGTGCTCAGCACCATCCCGAGGGCGCAGGATGAGTCCCGAGGTTGCTCAGGACCATCCCGAGGGTGCTCAGCACCATCCCGAGGGCGCAGGATGAGTCCCGAGGTTGCTCAGGACCATCCCGAGGGTGCTCAGCACCATCCCGAGGGCGCAGGATGAGTCCCGAGGTTGCTCAGGACCATCCCGAGGGTGCTCAGCACCATCCCGAGGGCGCAGGATGAGTCCCGAGGTTGCTCAGGACCATCCCGAGGGTGCTCAGCACCATCCCGAGGGCGCAGGATGAGTCCCGAGGTTGCTCAGGACCATCCCGAGGGTGCTCAGCACCATCCCGAGGGCGCAGGATGAGTCCCGAGGTTGCTCAGGACCATCCCGAGGGTGCTCAGCACCATCCCGAGGGCGCAGGATGAGTCCCGAGGTTGCTCAGGACCATCCCGAGGGTGCTCAGCACCATCCCGAGGGCGCAGGATGAGTCCCGAGGTTGCTCAGGACCATCCCGAGGGTGCTCAGCACCATCCCGAGGGCGCAGGATGAGTCCCGAGGTTGCTCAGGACCATCCCGAGGGTGCTCAGCACCATCCCGAGGGCGCAGGATGAGTCCCGAGGTTGCTCAGGACCATCCCGAGGGTGCTCAGCACCATCCCGAGGGTGCTGGATCCAACCTGAGGATGCTGAGCACCTTCGAGAGGGTGTGGAGCGCCATCCTGAGGGCGCAGGATCCGTCCCGAGGGTGCTGAGCGCCTTCCAGAAGGTGCTGGATCCATCCCGGGGGTGCTGAGCGCTTTCTAGAGGGTGCAGGATGTGTCCCGAGGGTTCTGAGCGCCTTCCAGAAAGTGCAGGATGCGTCCCGGGGGTGCTGAGCGCCTTCCAGAGGCTGCTGGATCCAACACGAAGGTTGCTCAGCACCATCCCGAGGATGC